ACCAGCAGTTAGCGTAATGGCTATGTTGCTGGACTCCCATGTAGTTGACTGCAGTTTGCATCCTGGACCCGGTGGCTTAAAACTCACGCCGGGCACCTGTGCGTACGTGCCCAAGATCCCAAGAGGAGAATGGAGGAGAAGGGATTGCAGCGTGATCATCCCCTCTGGGGGATGATTTCTTGCTTTCTGTCTCTCTGTCTCTCTGTCTGTCTGGTGAGCACACACTCTTTATAGCAAAAAAAAAAAAAAAAAAAAGAATCTTGGTTAAAACAGAAGATGTAAGAAAATGATGGTGACCAGATTACATCTTAACATTTTCTCTTCATTTTAGAGGACAACTTGCGATGGAGTCTTTACCTCTTGAGCTGCCAGCTGACACAGTGCAACGCGTCGCAGCTGAACTCAAATGTCATCCAGCAGATGAGAAGGTTGCTCTCCGCCTTGATGAGGAAGATAAGCTGAGCCACTTCAGGGAGTATTTTTATATCCCCAAAATGCAGGATCTGCCTCCAAGTAAGAATAATGGGAAGGGTTTTTTAAAAACTCAATTTATTAATTTATTTTTGCAACTGCATTAAAGTGTTTATCATAAATCTTCTAAAAAAATCATTTTTCCATTACGTAAGAGAGTCATTACAATTGTCTCTGAATTGTGTCTGAAAAATAGCAGGTCCCTGGTGCTACTAAATCAACCTGTCAGCCTACCTTAGCCTCAGATTCCTTAGGTTTCTTCTCCTCCTTTGAATAAAATACTTACAGGGTGCTTATACTGTCATCTACTTCTCTGAACAATAGAGTGACTGATTGAAAAATTATAGACAGATGCATTTACTTGTTCTCTAAGCACTTAGAGCTCAAAGCAATTCTTTTCAATACAATATTAAAATATTTCTTATTTTGTGGCACCCAGTTGATGATAGCATGTTTGTCTTAGAGGGAATATGATTTTGTGATCTGGAAGTGGTGGGAGAGATGTTATATGACTAGTCGTCTTTGCACACTGTGAGTGAAGATGCCATATATAAGAGTAAACCAATATAAAACAGTGAATGCCCAACTTTTCCTGCATTCTTAACAATAATACAGTAAGCGGGACCAGCAGTTAGCACATTGGCTATGTCGCTGGACTCCCATGTAGTCAACCACAGTTTGAGTCCTGGACCCGGTGGCTTAAAACTCACGTTGGCGTGTGTGTGTGCGTGCCCAAGATCCCGAGAAGAGAATGAAGAAGAAGGGATTGTGGGGTGGCCATTCCCCCTGGGGGGTGATTTCTCGCTTTCTGTCTCTCTGTCTCTCTCTGCCTTTCTGGCGAGAACAGGCGTCCTATAGCAAAAACCTCTCCAAAAAAAAAAAAAAAATACAGTAAGCTAACTCTGTTCTTGGTTTTAAGGGAGTCCTGAGTCCTGATTTTTTCTTTTTTTGCAACAAAGCTAGCACAGGTATAAAAATGTGAAATAATATATCATACTTAGCTTTACTCCATTTTATATCAATGAACAAGGATGCTAAGTTGAATGGAATTAGTCTGTGATATGGGATTTATTACTTTATTATAGTCTGATTTCCGTTTTTCTTCAGATTAAAAGTGGCAGGTACAATTTGAAATGACAAAAATCCAAGAATGTCAGTTAATCAGATTTGGGGGTAAGATCAGGTAAGAAAACTCTCTCTCTTTCTCTCTTAACAGAGTGTGCGTGTGCTCATGAGAGAGAGAGACAGAGACAGAGAGAGAGAGAGAGGTCACCCCCACTTGGTCTGCACTGCATTCCTTTTTCTGCCATTTCTATATCCCATCAACATTTTAGGCATATCCACAGATGTGCCTGGCATGTTATTCAAGGCACCAAGGTTCGAATTTGAACTGTGTTTACCCATATGAGATACTGCTCTATATGTACAGGGCTAAGTGCTGCCCGTTGGGGCCATTTCTTCTTCTTCTTTTTTTCCCCTTTATTCTAGGATACAATGCCTGTGTGGCCATGTAAGAAAAAGAGAGAGAGACTGAGCACCCTAACAGGGTCTGGTCAAGTTGTAATCCCTTTCCTCCAGTCCTTAAGCTCATCGGGAACCAGCAGTTAGCGTAATGGCTATGTCGCTGGACTCTCACGTAGTCGACCGCGGTTCGCATCCCAGACCCGGTGGCTTAAAACTCACGCCAGGCGCGTGTGCGTGCATGCCCAAGATCCCAAGAGGAGATGAAGGAGAGGGGATTGCGGCGTGACCATCCCCCCTGGGGGGTGATTTCTCGCTTTCTGTCTCTATGTCTCTCTCTGTCTGTCTGGTGAGCACACATGCCCTATAGTGAAAATCTCTTCAAAAAAAAAGCTCATCATAGCCTGGACACTTGCATGAATGTCTAGTGTGTTTCAGACTGACCTGGTTCTGGATACAAATTTTGGTCCCCATATGGAAGCCAGCTTCTTTTGAGCAATGCATTACCGCTGCATTGGAGCTGGCCACATGTAACTCTCTTATTTTGTTGTAAATGTAATGTAACATATTCTCCTGAAATAATGCATCTCAAAATATATGTCCAGCACCCTATAGAATTCTAAAGGAATGAAAGATAAGAAATCCTGGTGTACAATTTCAAATTGCTTAGTAATAGTTGAAGAAGACATTGATACAAATGACAGCTATAAAAGGCTAAATAAAATGGGACTATAAGAGATGTGATTAAAAACTGCAGAAGTGAAATCTTCAAGGTCAGTTTTGAATCTAGAATTGAAAGAGCATTTTCATTTGAATCTTAAGGGTGGAATCCTAACAGCTAATGGGTAAGTTGTAAGGAAATCAAATTTAGGAAGAGAATTCTTCCTGGGATGGGAGAGAAGACCCTGGAGATATGTGTACCACAAAATGTTAGGAGTCCTCTGAAATAACCAGATTGTTATTTTTTATGGTTATTGTCCCAGTAACTTGGAACAGGTCAAGTCTGGATAATAGTAACTGTGCTCTTTGAATAAGGGTTGTTTTACTGAATCAAAATCCAGTTTGAAAAACAGCATTACATTGGGCCGGCAGGTGGCATGGTGGTTAAAGGACTGGATTCCATACGGCCAATTGTGCAGTTCGAGTTTAGAACCTGTGGCTTGAAAAATGTGCCAGGAGCATGTGTGTGAGTGCCCAGAATCCTGAGAGGAGAATGGAGAAGGGATTGCAGCATGGCCACTCCCCTGGGAGGTTGGTTTCTCACTTCCTTAATCTCTCTTTCTTTATATTACACATGCCCTCTAGAAAAAAAAATAGCATTGCACATTGCTAATCATTATGGAACTGCAAATCAAAACCACAATGATATGTGACCTCACACTCATTTTGGCAAGGATGTAGAGAAATTGGAACCCTTGCGCACTGTTGGTGAGAAAGGAAAATAGTGCAACTGCTCTAGAAAACAGTCTGGCAATTTCTCAAAAGGTTAAAAATAGAATTGCTATGTAATCCAACAATCCCATTTGGATATATAGCTGAAAGAAATGAAAACCCAGTCCCCAAGTATACACCCGTTTTCATGGCAGCTCTAGTCACAATAGCCAAAAAAGGAACAACCAAAAGCCCATCAAAGCATGAATGTATAAATAAATATAGTATATACCTACAGTGAAATATCCTTGGAAATAGTTTAGATAGTAAATTTTATGTTATATATAGTATCACATTGGTTTTAATATTTATTTTAAAAAATTTAAGTTTCCATTAAGGGACCAGCAGATGGCATAATGGTTACATTGCTAGACTCCCACAGAGTCGATTGTGGTTTGAGTTCTGGACCCTGTGGCTTAAAACTCTCACTGTATGCATGCACTTGCATGCCCAAGGTCCCAAGCTTAGAATGGACAAGGGATTGTTTCATGGCCGTCCCCTTGATGGGGGGGATGATTTCTCACATTCTGTCTCTCTGTCTCTGTCTCTTTCTGTTTTTCTGGAGAGTACACATGCCCTTTAGCAAAAATCTCTTTTAAAAAATAAAAGTTTCCACTAAAAAAAAGCATTGTATATATAATCACTTCTATTCTACTTAAGAGTTGACTCTGCACCCTGTTTATAGGTATAGATTGAACAGCCCTAATCCAAAAATTCAAAATCCGAAGTCTTGAATGCTGACTGATACCACAATTGGGAAATTTCATATCTGACTTCATGTGACAGGTCAGAGTCAAAAGGGAGACATGCAACTCACAATTTATGTAGCATTTCCAAGGAAAAAAAAGAATCCCCCATTCCCATTAAGCTGTGATAAATCTTTCTTTTTTGGGGGAAAGAACTATTTAATTTAATTAATTAATTATTTAAATTTTAACAGAGAGGGACAGAGTGAGAGACGGAGAGAGAGGAGAGAGAGAAAGTGAGACAACAAGCCTCCAGTTCTGGAACTTGAACCATGCTTGGCCATGTGGGAGTCCAGTGCCCTTAACTACCATGCCATCTGCTGGCCCCAGAGTGATAAATCATTTAAATTCACATTCAGATTCTCCCATCAAATCATTGTCACAAAATTGAACAAAATTGCTTAAAATATTGTATATGGAAGCTGGATGGTGGTGCAGTAGTAATGTGACACTCTGTGTAGTAGGTCCACATAGGACAGTTCCAGGCTGGCATCCAGTGATCTGCCTGAACACACCGGGCATGCTTGCCCCTGATCTGGGCTGACCAAAGCGAGGGCTGAATCATGATGTAAGAGCCTCTTGAGAGGATCTTTCCCTTTCTCTCTTTCTCTGTCTCTCATGGAAGAAAATAATTCAAACTCTGTATAAGGTATATACAAAATAAATAAATTTGTGTTTAGACTCTAGTTCCATCACTAAGATATCTCATTATATATATGAAAATATGAAAATATTCCAAAATCTCTTAAAACTCTAAAATCCAAAACACTTCTGGTCTAAAGTATTTCAGACAAAGGCTACTGTGTATAATCTGTATATATTCAATTAGCTCTCCAGTAGAAACTAAGAAGTATAATCTTAAGTAACGGCTGATTCTTAAAGAGGCATAAAAAGACCAGTGTATTGATTTAATAAAGAATTCAAATAATTGGCTTTAAAGCTATTTTTGAATGAAGGAGAAATTTGCTTTATTAACCACAAGAGTTCTTTTAAGTCTATAATCAGCAAAGTGTGATCTCTTGACTGGAAACATGAACTTCACCGGAGACATTATTAGAAATGCAAGTTCTTGGGTCCTACCTCAGAATTACCTACCCCAGAATTAGAGACTCTGAGGACAAGATCCAATATCTTCTAGACCAAGATAAGGTGGTGTTCTAGGCAGTTAGATCAATAGATTCCCATTCTCACTTTTATTTATTTATTTATTTTTGCTATAGAGCACGTGAGCTCGCCAGAAAGACAGAGAGAGACAGAGAAACAGAAAGCGAGAAATCACCCCCCGAGGGAATGGCCACGCCACAATCCTTTCTCTTCCGTTCTCCTCTTGGGATCTTGGGCACGCATGCACATGCGCCCAGCATGAGTTTAAACCACCCGGTCCGGGACTCAAACCACAATCGG